CATTACGATCAAGCTCTTAAAGCATTTTTCCAATGTATGGAAAACAAAAATGCTAGTCTGTCAGAACTAGTTGAAAAGTGCAGACAAGAAGTTATAAACACTCTAGAATTGCCAGATCTGAAAGGTAAGACTCATTTCTTTCAATAGTACTGTAAGGTTTTAGTCATTTATTATTAGTATCCCATATTTTTTTGCATGCTATGTGTATTCCATATTTTGGTAACAATAGTAATATAAATTCATATAGCATCAAATTTATACAATAGTATAATAGAAATTTACGCTAAATACCATCATCATTTCAATAAAAACTTCATGTTGTCATTGGCACTGGTGTAGAAAATTGTTTGTTGCCAGTACGATAACTAAAGTTTAGTAAGACCATAAAGAATTCCTACTCATCGATTCTCAGAGAAAAATCGCATGCTTTTATTTCACAGTGTAAAAGGAGCTGATGCAGGACTAATGTGTTTTTAAAGACATTTTTATCTCTCCATTTCAGAAGTATCACAAGAGGTGAGGTGTTCTTTGGATCCCTCCTATTGGAATCAAACCATTCTGGAACTGCAAGAATCTAATCGTTGGAGGGTGCTGTTTTTCTTATTAAATGGTGGTGGAAATGATTGCGAGTATGGCATGGGTGGTGTTGCTAAAGGTTGCGATGTTTCAAAGGTGTCAATCCTTAAGTGTCTGAAATCAAAAACTGAAAATGTTGAGAAACTTAAGGTTATCAAATCTCTACTGGAGGTAAGTACTGCCTTATAATCCTAACAATAAAGCATTTTGATTGGTTTTTTTTTAAATTTTCTTTCATTATTTTTTGCTTTGGAGTCTTATGTTGAAATTGAAATTAACGCTAACAGTAACAAATTACAAAAAGGAATTGAACATAAATGTTATGTATTATTAATGCTCAGAAAAAGTATTTTAGTAACAACTGCAGAAACATAAAACCAATGTGAGATTATTATTTTACGTAGAGTGATGGGAAGACAAATAAAATAGAGAGTATTCTTCTATCCATTTTAATTGTAAATGACAGTATGTATTACATCTCTTGTTTGAAGGTTATAATAAAAACAAAAACTTGTTTTTAAGTTATGATCTACTCATTATTATCATACTCTGGCCCAGAGAAAGGAGGGAAAGGCTGGTGTGTATAATTCATATGCAATATTTGGGCTTAAACTTCAGCGGAATACAGTGCATATAATTAAATTTCATTGTGTCAATGGTGGATTTCTTTTTCTCTAGAATGGTGCAAAACCAAATGGACTGCCAGACGAAGATATATCGCCAGTTAAATACTGCCTTCTAGTGAACAACATAAAATACTATACTATCATTACTGCATTGATAAGAAAAGAAGCAAGACCAGAAGATCTGATTGTTGTTGCTGGTGATAGTCCTTTACATTCTGGCCTTAGAATGTGCTTGAAATATAAAGGTATATTTACACAACTTAAATTAAAAAGAATGAAAACGTTATTAACCATAAATTGTTGCAGATTAAAGTTATGCACATAAAATTTATTGAAAGCTCAGTTCCCATACAATAGCTACACCCTGTCGGCGACATTTGCCAATTCAGAAGTCGGGAAGGTTAAACCTGGTTCAACTTTGCCTATTTTGTTGCAGACGAAATTGGGGTGCCTTTGTTGAAAAATCAAATTTAAGACAACATCATTTTCTTAATGAAAACATGGAGGTAAACTACCATGAATGATCTTCAGAGACTTGCTACAATGTACAGTATGCTCTTCTTGCAGATAGGAAAATGGATCTTCTGAATGTTCTGTTGGAGAAGTACTCTAAATCAAAAAATGATCAGTATCTAGACCCAACGGAGACAAATATGGATGATGATGATTCACTGTTTCATATTGCACTTAATGAGAAAGACGAAGCCTTGTCCTTAGAGGCGGTAAAGCTTCTCTCCAAGAACAAAGTGAACCCATACTTGAAGAACAAAGCCGGTAAAATACCCATTACCCAGATTAAGAAAACAGACAGAAGATACCAATTCCTTGAAGAGGCAGCACGTCACCATCCCAAGAAAGGAAAAAAAGGTCCTAAGAAGCAGAAAGGTCCTGCCAGAAGTGGTGAAGGTACAGAGATGTCGCCTGATGTTTCTCCATTTCATACTCTGGGTTCATTACCAAAAACTAAACATGAAAAGAAAGGGAAAGTCCAAACACCTGGCATAGACAAGCAGGAATTGAAAAGAAAAATTGCTTTGCTAATTAAAAATGTCCTACCCGTAATTAAGCCAGCTAAATCTGAAAACAAAAAGATGCAAAAACAGAGAGAGACTAAACGCCATGTTCAACAGGAGGACGATGAGGAGGTTGAAAATGATGATACCCATGATAAAGTTGGAGCACAGAAGAAACCTGAAAGTCAAGGTTTGTGATCAATTTATTATTTTTCGTTTTTATGCTTCTGTAGCATAGAAGCATTGAAATTGTCTTGATCCATGTAATGCTTATTTATTTCATTTTATTCCCTTAGTCACATAATCAGTGATTACTAATAGTTACTTATTCCCTGTCCTATTAGATAGGTGGCAATACCTTCACATGACAGACATATACACATAAAGTCCCATAACGGGGCTTATGGAGTGGAGTGAGGAAAATCCTGGAATCTGACAGGATTTGAACCTAGGATCTCAAAATTGGAAGACGAGCATCTAATAACCACCAAGCTATTCTATGCCACTTGCACAGTATGTGTGGGTAATTATTTCTAATCCAAAATCTCTTTCAATATCATGTATTACATTTACAGATCTTGAAGATTTGGAAGCTGCAGATCTGCAAGAAATAGATTCCACTGTCTTTGATAATTTGGTATGGGAAGTTGAATGCACAGCAAAGGTGTGGAAATTCCTGAGAGACCGCCGTGTCCCAGAAAAAATTAGGAAAGCTGTGGTCAACAAGATACAACGTCTTGGGGAAGGCAACTGGTCAAAAAGCCTTGCAAAGTCTCTCAAATGTGATCATATCTATCTATATGAGGTAAAGGTGACCAGTGGTGGCAGGATCCTCTGGCAGAAGGCTATTGCATTTTCACCAAAGCGCAGTGTTGTGCCAGAAGAAAGACTTGCAGGTAATTATTTGTAGTACAGCAGTATTAAAGATTTTCACTGTATTTGGTTTTTTGTAGTCATGGCTACTATCTTTTAATTTGCTGTTCAAAGCAGCACATCTGAACCTCATTTATATCCTGTCTGCTGGTTGCTTATAGCACATGATCAATGGCCACACATTAAAACCGCCTCAAGGCTCTTTTTAATCTCTAAATAGCTACAATAAATTAATTGATGAACAGCCGGTGCAAACATAAAGGGAAGGAATTAGGTCCGCACACCCGATTTTGAGATGGCATCGCCATCACTACTATGTACACTCAGGTACCTTGGCGTCAGTATGTTGGACTCCAGTAGTTTCCACCAAATTAATTCTGTGGCTTTACTACTGTACACAGCTAAGTTAGCGGTGCCACTCAAGTAAGGTGCGACTTGTCGGGGGGGAGGGGGAACTCAACTTCTAAAATGTCTATCAATACCATAATTATAACATCAAAAACAAACTATTATCAATAACACTAGCAACGTTTTCCTTTGTAGAAAATAAAAATGAGTTTGGAGGGATAGAGGGTGGACGTATATACGCTGATGTTATTCGTGTTTGGGACGTGGTTTTGGACCATGATAACGTACAACACGCAATAGATGTGATTGTGAAGTCTGTCGATCGAGGTCAGGATTGTATTCTCCAGAAGAAACTGCGAGGCATCAAGAAAAAGTTCATTAGACAAGGTCTCTGTGAAAAATTTGAAAACCTTCATACATAGAATTAGATATTTCAGTGTAAAACATAATTTATAATTTCCACACAGAGTGTCAAAAAAATGTGTTCACCACTTCTAGACAAACTTTGATCAAAACCTTTGGTTAACATTTTGGACAAGTTCAAACTTGATAAACCATAAGTCTAACCAGTATGTAAAATGTTATGCTATTATTTTTCATACAGAAATGAAGATTCCAAATTTGTACCAAGAAATACTGTCAGAAGATGTCTCTGAATCCCAGGCAGCTACGAAAAAGCAGGATTTCTTCCCGCCAGCTAGTTCAAAGGAAACCGAGTACCACATTATGAAGTTCTACAGCTTCAGTTCGAATCTTGTCAACAACATCCTACACGACAGTAATACACGAGTTGATTTCCCATTCCGTGTAACAGAGAAGGAGCATGCCATCATTCATATTAACCCAAAGCCACCATGTTCCCTCTTACTTCTTGGACGCAGTGGTACAGGTAATTTTGTATGGTACAGTACCTGAAGGTACAGTACCTGAAGTTCCTTTAAAATTATAAGTAAACACACCAACTGCTAATTAACTAATTAACTGTTAACTAATCAATCACGTTTTCTACATTTTAGGAAAGACAACATGTTGTCTTTACCGACTTTGGTCATCCTTTGTGGCGTACTGGAACAATGCTGCAAGTGATGGTGAACCACGAATCCCACGTGATTTCTGTTTCCGTCATTCTAAAGATGCTGATGAGGAATTAGGTAACTATTTGTGTATTGAGTACACTATACTTTTTATTAATCCCAATAAACATGGTCTCGTATTTTTGGTGATAGTGATGTTTTTGTAGATGGTGATGGCAGGGAAGAGTTAAAGGGTGATGGTGATGATGATGATGGTGGTGATATAGTGATCATGATGATTATGGTGGTGGTGATGATAATGATGATGATCAGGATGGTGATGGCAAAAAAGAGTCAGTAATTTTGAAATATTTATATATTTTTTATATAATGATAATATATATATACAGTATATATACAGTACTGTATATTATATATTATTATTATTATATTATTTGATAAAAGTCACAAAAAATTAAGAGGGATCATAAAACATTTCAGATGATGAAACTGATGATTCTGAGATGTCAGAAAGTGCTGAAGCAAATCTAGAAGGTATTGAAGTGGGAGAAGCTGCGGCATCACCTGATCCAGAGGATACAGATGAGGAAGAGAACGAAATTGTGTATGATCATCTCCACCAAATATTCATCACAAAAAACAGAGTCTTATGTAGTGAAGTACGGAAGAATTTTCGTGAATTGGCGCATGGTTGTGACATAGCATCACACTACCTGAAGGCTGAAGACCAACAACATCCTCATCGTCTTCAAGATGCTCCTATTGCAGCTTTCCCATACTTTCTCAATTCAAGACAGTTTTTGTTAATGCTTGATGCCTCTCTACCAGGCGCACCATTCTTTGAACGGAAACCTGATGGCTCACTTAAAAAGGAAATACGCGAATGGCAAGAGGGTAATAATACTTTTATTAATGTTTGTATAATATAAAAGCAGTTGTGGCACCACCTGGGTTGGGGCAGGGGGTGACTGACAGTAAATGTGTCCCTTGTATTTACTGTCTCCGAACTGCAATGATGTGAAACTGCAACTTTGTAGACTAAATGTTAATTATCAAATGTTTTTCATATAAACATTAGAGGTCAGGTGTGGATCATTGACGTGCAAAGCCCTAAGCGAGGGTAGTGTTTGAAATTTTTGTGTAGAAATGATTGATTGTACATGGAATTTAAATAAAAAATTAGCTGTGTTTATTGTGCTTCCCCTCGTTCTCACGAGAGTGGCGCTTATTTGAGCCACCCCATGTATTTTATTGACACTTTTCTTTTAAATATACAAAATCAATAACATTTAAAGTAGAATATAACATAGTATGATTAAATCAGGTAACATTTGTATTATTCTGTATAGGGGATGGCCAGCAACCATTTCTTGAAATGATGGACATGGACGATGACTCGGATGATGACGAGGAAGATGAAGAGGAAGACGAAGAAGAAAATGAGAGGGAATTTGATCCTGATGCTGAGGAAAAGATACAAAGAAAGAAAGTTGCATATGATGCACGACATGAAGTAACTTACGAAGTGTTTGCAAATCACTTTTGGACAAAAATGAAGAAAAAGAATTTGGACTATCATCCAACATTGGTGTGGATGGAAATTAGGTCTTTTATTAAAGGTAATCATAAGAAAGTGTAAATTAGTTTACTTTGTTTTTTTATTTAAAGGACTATATCCTCATTGCCATAATCACATGTCTGTGTCCATTGTTGAAGTGTTTCCTACACCATATTGATAGTTTACTTTTGTGTGTTGAAACATTTTATGCGAGTTCATTTTATGTAAACAACAGGCCATTAGAATCACTAGTTTAAAAAACAAAAGTAAAGCATGAATAGAAATGTTTTGTAGGCTCCATAGAAGCACTGCACTCAGAAAATGGAAAGCTGGATTTAGAAGATTACCAGAAATTAGGCAAGAAGAGGGCACCAAATTTCACTGGGGATCGGAAAGAGGTTTATGATCTTTACAAAAAATACGAAGTATGAAATATTTTATTCTGTTACCTTCCTTTCATGTCCCTATTGCTTCTTAATTAATTTCATTTTTTTACTTCTTTGGATGCTTCATTAGAAGTTTTTATTAGTGGAAATAGAAATGATTTGAATTAATTAGAACAAAGGTAAATTGATACGACTGGTTCTGGCAAAACGCTCTGTTTGTTTAAACAATTTTAAATTGAGTTTTTTGGTATTTCTAATTATACATGTATTTCATAAGCAGCAAAAACATGAAATCAGTTAAGATGCCAATTGTATGACATTTTATTCGCTGTAGCATGGAATTAGAAATGCTGTCAGATGTAAGGTTTTTGTCAGATTCGGTCAAATAGTATGCTTTGTTTTACTTAATTGATGTTGCAAATAAAGTCAGCATGACCATTATAGAACAGAATGCAACATACATTCTACATACATAGAACATAGAAAAAGAAGTTGAATGGAATGGAAAAACATTGGTAATCCGTGAAAACATCGGAGATTTCTGTAAAAGGTTGTAAATATAGGGTTCCTATTCTTAATACTGTATGAGTTTATAGCTTTGTAAAATGGTTTTGTACTCATCTATTGATTTAAAACAATATGGAAAATGGCATTTTTTGTTATTGATTTCTTATTGTATATAAATTTAACATCATTTAAAAATATTTTTATATAAATAAATTCTATAATTGTCAAAAGCACATGAAGAGGCAACAATTTTACTTTGATGAGGCTGATGTGGTATTCGACATCTACAGACGTCTACAGGATGTGGAGGAACCAGATTGGGCAATTCACCAGATTTATGTTGATGAAACACAGGACTTCACCCAAGCCGAGCTTGCCTTACTAATTCGATGCTGTAGCGATCCAAATGCAATCTTTCTGACAGGTACAATTAACATGCAAGTAGAGGTCCAGTAGGGTTCATTAAAGAACCGACTTCCTTTCATGTAAATCAGGCCATGTCTCATAATCATCAAACTCTTTTGTCCATCGTTTCAGCAGGTTCTGGAATAACTTTTTACAGTCTAACTTTCTTGACTTAAATATGTGCCGTTTTAGTATCTTTTTTTAACATTTTGTCTTTTTTTTTGTTGTTTTTTTCAACTTGGCCTTCCTATTTCCCCTTATTGTGTATCGTATTTTCCTCTGAGAAGTAACAGCTTTATAAAAAAAAAAGGAGTAATACCTGTATGTTAATATCATGATCATAATCATAGCAATGTCTGCTTCAACATTCTAACTCTTTACACTGAACACATTCTCAGAATCGGCGTTCTATTCAGTTCAGTGTTTTTTATAATTCTCATATTATCTTAAATTTCTTTACAGGAGACACAGCTCAGAGTATCATGCGTGGTGTTGCCTTCCGATTCAATGACCTCAAATCTCTTTTCCACTATGCTAGCACTTCAATGAAGGCATTAGGAAAACAATCATCTGTAGCAGTGCCAAATAAGGTTTATCAGCTGACACATAACTATAGGTCTCATGCTGGTAAATACATTTTGATCTTTCTTTTCTAACACACAGGCCCACATTAACAACATAGTCATTCACATTGGTCATTCAGTAAATTAAAACTGATAGCTATAAACTAAACTACCTCAGTACCGATTGTGGGCAGTCATTTCATCACATCATTTTATCAGTTTTTATCATTTTCAATAATAAAAAATGAGTATTGTTTTATTAATTTTTAAGGAATATTGGAGTTGGCAGCCAGCGTAGTGGATCTCCTTCTCTTCTTCTTTCCGAGTTCATTTGATCGACTTAAGCGTGATCAAGGATTGTTTGATGGGCCTAAACCAGTATTACTGGATTCTTGTAGCACCAGTGATCTTGCTTTGATTCTTCGGGGAAACAAACGGAAGACATCTGAAATAGAGTTTGGCGCTCATCAGGTGATGGAACTTTATTTTTTGTCTTTAGTATTCAGTATGCAAGTCATTTGTTTTGAAATAAGTGGTTGTATATTGTTTTATCCATAAAATTTTTATCAATTCAATACATATATATTTATAAAGAGAAACTTACTTTACATTAAACAGTACAACAGTTTTGTGTGATTACAGAAGATCTCATACTATTTTATGGCATTGTGATTTTTAGGATGAAGGAGTGAGTTATAATTCTCTTGCCACTATAATACTATGCCCAAGAATTTAATAGAATTGTATTTTATTAATTATATTCTTAGGTTATTCTTGTTGCAAATGATCAGGCAAAGGAACAGTTGCCAGAAGAACTCAGTCTTGCTTTGTGTCTGACAATATTTGAGGCCAAAGGTTTAGAATTTGATGATGTCATGATCTATAACTTCTTTAAAGATTCCCCGGTAAGAGTTTTTATCAAATTTACCCCTACCAATTGTTTGAATGTAATTTTTTTACCTTTAAATCAGTCTAAGATGTCAATAGGGTAATTTGTGTAAGATTTTGTTATTTCCGATCATGATTATCTATCTCCAAAGTGTACTCAATCCATGGCTTCTGAAAGATGTTGTTATGTGTTGAGCCTGGTACTTACTGCTTCGTATGACCATCTTACGATGAATCCAACTCCGCTACTCATGAGCTCTAGATTACGCAACTCCGTTGGCGTTGCATTCCTCTAGAATAACATTAGCCGATGACCATCGGGTACAGTGAGAGCCTGGTTTTAGTTGCCAATGATGATGCAGGGATCAAACAATGAAGAAGCAAAAACAATAAAAATCCATCTTATACAAAAATGGGATGTTGGATGGCATGACCACATGGCTAGTTGTTCTTTATTTGTATGTGTTTTTAATATGATTGGGTTTAATGGAGGGTTGTCTGTTTTTACAGTTTATGAAGAATCAGTCTCATAGCTGTTCCGCTTATCTACACTTGCATTTGAATTTTGAATTGATTGATTGAAAGAACGACTTTCATCTCCAAATACTCTAAAATTATGTCATTCCAGTACCTGAGGTACATTTTAAGTCAATGTTTTATTTTACCACTTTCAACATTTAGGCTAGAGAGGAATGGAGAGTCGTTCAGGAACACCTTAAAGACATACAGAATCAGACCATAGACATCAACAGCAATACATCAAGTTTGTTTGAGCTCGACATAGATGTTATGAATTCAGCTGAACAACCCCGAAGACTTTCATTTGATCCTGATAAACACAAGGTATGTTTGAGAAGTGAATGAAAAAATTATAAGAGGCATGATATCATATTAATGTCTATGGAATCGCCTGACTACTGACTATCTCTATATAATAGAATTGCTTTACTTTGCATCATGTTCCACAGAGTAAAGCTCTACATACAAACAAAGCTTTTGGAATATAAGGATATCATCCTTGAAAAGCATGCAAGCAAATAATACCACAAAGTAACTGGAAGGACAGACAAGAAAAAAAAAACACACAACAAAATACAGACATTGACCTAAGAACAGGATGACTAGCAAAAACATGGTACCACTTCAATAAGCACTCCGGACAAAATCCTCTGACAAATAAACCTAAAGTTAGTTAAATGTGCTAACGTAGTATTTATGACAGGAAAAAAACTATGGAGGCATTCATGGGATGATTATAAAAAATAGAATGTGTTTTTCACTTGCAATGAAACTTTTATATTTGAATGTTTTCAGATTAAATGAACCTTCTCTACAAAGCTGGCTTTTTAAATATAGCTAGACACCATTTAATATCGCCTATATTCGACTTGCATGAATGAAAAATTTCCTTGTTTCCTGCTCACTTTTGTTGTATACAGACAAATGAAGAATATTGAATGAGAATTTCATATCAATATCATCTTCAAATTTAAGTTTACTTTATAATAATAATAATAATAATAATAATAATAATTTGAATGTCATTTTATTCAGATGTCAGCCATGTGTCTGAAATGGGTTACATTTGCAAAGTGGAAATAAAGTATTAATGTAACCATTATACTTTAGGAGCTGTTTTACATGCACTTAATCTCTTTCCAAAAATAAGTGTATATTGGTGTATTTGTTGAGTGTAGTTCCAAATTTCAGATAAGAATTTTAATCTCTTTTGCCAGATTCCTAGCCTAAATTACAAGCATAACATATTTTCTATTTTAAATCTTATTAAATTATGTTGTCAGTGCCGTTGTGTTTGAGAATTTAAATAGTCAAAATACTGTAAACTCAATTACAGAGAAAGTGAGCTTCTATGATTATTGTTTGCTATATAAGTCAAAAATATTATTATTATTAGTTAACTTTTTATATACAATGTATTATGTGTAAAATGTAAATTGAACATCTTTTTTAAATATTTAAGCACATTTCAATATTTTGTCTTTCTTCAAGGTGTTAAATTCAGAGCTAAAGTACTTGTACACGGCAATCAGTCGTGCTCGTGTGAATGTCTGGATCTTTGACGAAGACACTGACAACCGTAGACCAATGTTTCAGTACTTCAAAGCTAGAAAACTAGTAAGCGTTCTTGAGGCAGAGCTTGATATATCAGAGCAGAGTAAATGTAAGTAACAACCAGTTTAGAGACTTTGTTGGTTTTAACCTATTACAATACAGGTTCTTGATTTTGTAATTTAATTATGTATAAGAAATTTACTGCTACGTTGTCAGAGCAACAAATAGCTTAGTCAGCAAAAGTGCTAAAGGTAATTAAAATTAGTGTGAAACAATATTAAATAAATATTTCCAAATATACATGAATAAAAGAGATTTGACAACATTGTTTTATTTGGATCTGTCTAGCCCTTGATGTTATGTTCGTTGAGAAGTCATCAGCAGAAGATTGGGAAAAACGTGGAGATTACTTCTATAATAATGGTCTGTGGGAGGTTTCTGTCAAGTGCTACCTGAGAGCAGGAAATCGTAAGTTAAACACACCCCACCCCCATTTTAATATGTTTGTGTTTGCATATTTTGTGATTGAGTGAATTTTATTTTATTTTCTTCAAAGATTTTCTTCCCTGCAGATGTGCTGCAATTTTTTTTTTTCAATGAATCGTAATTCAATGCTAGTGATTCTAACACCAACCTTTATAAAACACCTCTACATGTTTTATCTGTTTTTCTTCCCCATCAATACATAATTTGTGTATAATTATATTTGTGTTTTATAGATCAGAAGGTGTTAAAAGCTAAAGCAAATCATCGAGTAAACGAAGCAGAAAAAATGAAAGGAACAAACATGGCAAAGATGCGTGAATGGTTTTTGGAGGCAGCCCATGATTTCATGCAATGTGGAATGCACAATGAGGCGGCACGCTGTCTCTTCAACACAAAGGAGTTTGATCTTTCTGCTCAACTGTTTGAACAAATTGGTGATGTACGTTTGTTCAGTATATGTAAAGCTGTTTAATAATTGGTTACACATACTGTAGAGTATGTGATCATTCTATAATTGGACCATGATGAATAAAATGTGTAGCCACTTTAGTCTGCTATAGAACAATATAAGAAATGACATATCTCAGCACTTTGAAGACTAACTATAATATTTATTGGCTCTGTTTTTGTCCACACTGTGGACTTCATCAGGGAACCGTACTCACCATCTACTGTACATACTCAATTGTAGTATCACAGTACTAAATTGTACAGCTATCATTGAATTTATTCTACAATAGAATTATACAGAATTCCTCTATGTCTTTCCTTACATTCATTTGCTGTAGGTTGCTGGAGCTGCCAAGATCTATGAGACACGATTGCAGAGGTATGTCGATGCCAGTCGCTGCCATGAGAAGCTTGGTAACTATGCAGTGGCAGTGAAGGTCTTGAAACAGAATAAAGAATATGACAAAGCTGCTGATGTCATTGAACGTTATAAACAGAGGAAGTCTGAGGATGCCTTGCCTGAGAATGTCATAGCACCACGGTATGTAAACGCCATGAATTGATGATTTAGAGTAAGTCTACATATTAGAATTTAGTTTGTTTCTTGATTTTCATGACATTTAATTATTTGTATCCAGCAGTGATTGGACATATAAAAGACACAAATACACTATATAAATGAGGTGGTTTGGATAATTCTCTCAACAATGTCAATAAATCTCTTTACGAAACAGAGCAAGTACTGGTATTTACTAAGAATCACATTGTATTGTGAGCAACTTAAGCACCAATCCAGAAACCCTAACTATAGTCTTTGTTAATATCAGATATTGTGTTTTAACTAGAAGTAATCCTTTAAACAATCCCCAATTTACTTGTTGCATATTTTGCAGGGATACCATCGATACATGTTGCCATCTAGCAGCTAAACATCACTACCAGCATGGAGCTCTTAACAAAATGTTAGAATCGTTGAATCGATTACCTAATGTAGATGATCGCATAACTTTTCTGAAAAGTCGAGGACAGCATCACTATGCCGTTGAAATCCTTAAAAGTGAAGGTAGGCTGAAGGATGCTGCAATAATCTTAAAATCTACAGGTGACCTTCTTCAGGCCATCGAGATTTGTGGTGAAGACCAACAGGAGTTTCGTGCCGAATGTCACCTTAAATTAGCAAAACAAAAAGTGCAACAATTAAGGAATCTTGATATGTCAAAGCCACCTTTGCCACCAAGCATTAAATTTTCTGGCAACATTGATGAAAAAAAAAATTCTTCAAATAATGCAGATAACAAATTTGAAAGTAACACTATACATGAAGTGTTTAGCATGGATGCCTCTTGTAATACAGAAAATAAATTGTCAGAAAGAGAAAAGAATGATAATACCAAGAAAGTTGAAATAGATGAAGAATTATCCACAACATCAGAGGTTAATGAAAAGCAGAACGAATGTGGAGACATGTCTGAAGTAACATTGCCTTCACCAGAAGTTGCCAGAAATGGTTCTAAAATGACAGAGGATGATGGTAGTAATACAACACAAATTGATGTCAAGTCCAGCGAAGATAGTATTTCAGATTTTTTTCCAGATGAATGGAAAGAAAGAGAAAATAATGGTAATACTAAGAAAGTTGAAATAGAAGAAGAATTATCCACGAGATCAGAGGTTAATAAAAAGCAGAACGAATGTGGAGACATGTCTCAAGCAACATTACCTTCACCAGAAATTACCAGAAATGGTTCTAAAAAGACAGAGGATGGTGTTAGTAATACTACACAAATTGGTGTCAAATTCAGCAAAGATAGTACTTCAGAAATTTTTCCAGATGCATGGGATGGCAGCACAGTTGGTGAAAAACTTAACTGCTCAGTGGAAGCAAACATTTCAGTATGTGATACAGAATCATTAAAAACCAAGTATCAGGAATATGAACTTAAACGTAAGGCACTTGTAACAGATATAAAATATCATGCAGAAAAGTCGCTGATGTTATTAAAAATGAGTAAAGATTCAAAGAAGCAGCTATTTGGAAGCTGTGAATTTATTCTTGGAGAGTTGAATAGTGATGTTTCCATGCTGAGAGATGCAAAACAGCATTTTCGTGAGGCTTCAAGTGATGCTGGTCAAATGGAATGCTTTCATATGCGTATAAAACTACAAGATAACATACATTTCAGCAACATCATTGACAATCTTACAAAACTCTATGACTTCATTCAAGTTCTAAAGAACTACGATGGGGCTAATGATCAACGGATAGTCAACTCAGCTGAAAACTTCTATGACATAGATCTTGGAGCTACTCCTCAAACATCTCCAAAATTTGGTAAAGATGAATTTAAACAGGCACGTGTTGAAGTTGTTCGTAACCATTGCTTACCTAAGGCTGCATTGTGGTTCAAATTAGTCAAAGAAAAACTTGAAAATACAGAAATGAAGACAAAGCAGTGCTCATTATTTGCTACTGGTAGACCATGTACAGGGAGCAACAGCAAATGCGTACACTTTGATTACAGACGAGAATCCATTCTACAGCTGGTGGAATGCTTTGCGTCAAAGATCAGGCTTGTACACTGTGCGACCCAATGGAAAACACTTGCTTTTGACGAGGCATTTCTAGACATACATTCTATAACAGATGAGATCATTAAGTGGAAATACCAACCTTGTGTTGAGCTCTACGAGCTGGTTTTTCCGTCTCATTGTAATCGACGGATTTTGACAGAAAATGAGGCAGCTATCGGATTACTTCTTCAAAAAATTCGCCAATCACAAGTAAAGCAGAAAATGACTGAATGGGTTTTAAATCTTCGCAAAAATTTGGATAATAGAGATAGAAACTGTGACTCAAATGTGTACCTGACTGCTTTAAATGTTCATCGTCTTGTTAAAGAGAAGCCAAATGTAATAAAGCAATGGATGAAAGAGGATGAAACACAATGTGCTAAATATCATTCTAGAAATCCAAAAGCCAGACGTTCCCTTGGAATGTTTGTTGATGGTAATCGTATGGTCAGCTTTATGAATACGCTGTTTGAGTACACAAATGCCCTCTATGTTCTTGGTGACCCAATGAAAGCAATAGGCAGCTGCAATATGTTCTTGGGGTTGATTGCTAATCGATCTGAAACACCTTTAATTCCATCCATCGCTAATACTGTCACTCTAATTGAACATGCTTTTACAGTTGCGTGTTCAGTGATTGCTAGAGCTCAGAAATGTGAAGTTTTCCTACCTGCTAGCTACCTTGCTCAGATTCAGTTTCATGAAGAGCTATGTAGATCAATACCAAACCGTCGCTATAGCTTCTACCAAGCAGTAGATTTTACAGCAAACATCAGATATAACGAATTACATGGACAGATTCGAAACTTTGTGGATATGATGACATACAGTGGTAAATATCCTTACTTTGATATTATTCCTGATGCATTTAAGTCAAGGCAATATATTGAATCTGGAGAAGCAGAGAGAACTCTTGTCTTAGCACTTGTGATGTTGTGTAATAGAAATTTGTTAAATTTCGAAAGCGCATTTAATCTCAGATGCCACCTAATGCCTATTCAAACTGATCATCTATATCCACCAAGACTAGTCAGAGCTGTTGAGGGTATTAAAAGTGCAAAATCATTGAAAGATTTAATGGATGTTCTCCAAGAATTATTGGTGCAGCGGGAAAAAGAATATCTTCTGGTGTGTCACTGGAATTCAGACAGGTCCAGTAGATATCATAAGTTGATCTATAAGCAAGTAAATACCGGATATTACAAAGACATCAGCCTAGGTAGTCTACAAGGAATGCATCCAATTGATCCATTTGTAGCACAAGATACTGCTCTACACCATGACACAAGAGGAGATGTAGGTGAAAATGAAGATGCTGAACAAAAAGAGTTTGAAAAAGCAGTTGACTTCGAAAACAAATGCAAGGTGATTTCAAATATACTAACAAAACTGCCAGCCAGACAAAAAATCTTACCAGAACTGATGCCTATTGTATCTGAGAAGGGGAAGTTAGCAGCTCTTGTCCGTGCACAACTTCATGAAGACAGTGTTCAAGAATCTCAAGAGAAGAATGAAGAGAGTAAGATATCTAAACATTGGATTGTAATTAAAATGAATGAGACATCTAAAGTTGATGAGACATGGTGCGCAATTTGCCGTAAAGCTTTGGATACCAAGGCAGATGAAGAACACTTGACAATGGTGCCATCCAGTCCTATTGAAGGTAAACTATAAATATTACTTATCCAATGGTTTCAGTCTACCATAATTTATTGAAAAGCATAGCTCTTAATAATTCTTTTATGTATCCTTTGTTATATTTAAGGAGCAGTACCAAATTACGACATTCTACATCGAGAGATTAGTGTTGAAGAGACAAAAAATACCCAAATGGAAGAGCACACCATATCCTACGAACATACTGTAAAGCAAAAGCAATTTGATGAGTTCAAGCAAAAAATCACAACCAAATTGTTACCATCACTTAAAGGTAAGTTTAAAAGAGAATATTATAGATGTATAAGGTAAGCTAGATATTTGATGACATATTATAATAAACAATGTGTATTTTCTCTTTTACAGATACTGAGTCACTGAATAGACATCTAGAAAACTGTAGGCATGCTGACCTGGAAGTTTTCCATGGGGTAAGAATAGTATTATTATATTGACTAAACTTTCTAGGTTTAGATTATAGAAAATCAGATAGAAATATATCTTAATTATCTGGTTATAATTTAAATGTTTATTTTTACTGTTAAACTCCAAAACATGCTATTGTTCCTCCATGCTATTAACAAGTCATAATTATCATAATTATTTGTAATACTAAAGAGGTTTTGTACAGTAGTGTAATAAGCTTTCATTTTCCCAAAATAATTAGCGTGTTAAGGAATACGAACGCAAGTTCATTACAACAGTCAATGACATCATTGAGAAACATAAATGGGAAGCGTTTGAAGACATCTGTCGTGCATGGAATATATTTGATAACAGTGTTCAGGATCTAAATAAAGGGTCCATTCGATTGGAAAATGAAAGCAAGTCTACTGTTGCTGCAGGTATGTATTAAAGTTTCCAATAGATACTGTTTATTTACAAAACCTCAGTTTATTAAATGACACTATATAAA